AACCACTGGACTGGAGCCATGGACTTAGGACATGGGATACTTCTGGCTGTCAGTCATTATCTTCAGTTGCTGTTTCTCCTGTTTTCATTTGTTTTTGCACCAGATGGATTTTTTTTCCAATAAAAATATAGTTTAAAAAATGTCTTTGCCTGAATATTTTTGTAATTTTCTTCTATGAATTTTTAACTCTATTCTTTGGTTACACATGTTTTTCCATTCACTTTCATTAGTCCTTTCATCTTCATGTATTTTAGCAAAGGTGATATTTAATATAATTGAATGTTCATTAAGTGTACAAATTGCTGCATCTGAGATGTTTGATTTTTTTCATATTTATAATATATTTATTTCACTGTTTGAAAATATAAACATAAGTGTCAAGTGGAATATATAGTTAATGATTGGGCCATATGTGAAAATAGAGCCCTGATCACTGGTGCACAGGAAGCCAGTCTGCTGAAGACCAGTCCTGTAGAGGGTGCCACCCCCTGTAGGGGCGTGGGCACCCAGCACAGGGCCTCACCTTCCCCTGCTCGCTGGGAAGTGAGCACTCACAGGAGTGCCCCAGGGGGTTCCTATTTTTCTTTAGTTTTTATTTTCTGCTCAGGAAGATTATATGGGAAGACATTAGTTAAAATCACAAGCCAGTCTGCTGAAGACCAGTCCTGTAGAGGGCGCCACCCCCTGTAGGGGTGTGGGCACCCAGCACAGGGCCTCACCTTCCCCTGCTCGCTGGGACCATGCTTTCTCACAGGAGTGCTCCAGGGGCTTCTATTTTTCTTTAGTTTTTATTTTCTGCTCAGGAAGATTATATGGGAAGACATTAGTTGAAATTACAGAGCACCCAGAGTAGAATCTGCATAAATCTATTCAGTGTGATGGTGGCTTCAGCTGCAGTGTCTGCACAGCAGTAGGTCCCCAGTCTATGACAGTTGAGGGGTGATCAACAGCATTTGCTGAGGGCTTCTTCCTGGCACATGCATTATTGATACAGCTTTTCAGAGACACTGTGCTTGCTTGTTTCTAAACATGGGGTATGAGCTTGTCACTTGATCCTGTGGGTAAAATGAGAGGCCAAAAATAAGTGGTGACACTTATACAATCAAATAACCTGTGCAGTCTCAAGTCACTGCTTAGAAACTTGCTTAGTGGAGATTTAGACATAAAGTCTAGGCCAATGCCAAGTGCTTGCGCCCCCTTGTGTTGACTGTCAGGGTGTGCACTTTCCCGTGGGAAGGGGCAGCTCCTCACTCCTGTCAGTAGATTACAAGGGCCTTGGTTGATGCAGGTTTGAGAATATTCAGGGATAGGTCTTTTGCTTTTCTTCAAATTTTCTAGGTAAACAAATTCTAAATCATGTGAATTCAGGATACACATGCCCATCGTCATTTATATGATTAACATATTTGCTGCAATCTTTACATCCTAGGCATTGTGTAGGTAGGGAAATTATAGCACACATTAATATTAAAAAAAGATTTCCGAAAAGTAAAATAAAATTCCAGCCACTTAAGAGAGAAATTTGTAATATGGAAAAAATAAAAATTAAAAAAAAATAAAAATATTTTTTTTATTTTTTAATGTTGATATTAAACATTAAAAATAAAAAATCAAGATTTTATTATTGTATCTAACGGTTCATGAATGAACTTCACATGAACATTATAGTCTACATCAAAATCAGTATTTAGCTGCAAGCAAATTCAAATTTTCACATAGGTGTCAGGAATGAATTTTTTGAGAAGGAATTAGTATTATAAATGCAATTTATTATAGGTTATTTGGCAGAAATTTTTCAGATATTTAGAAACAGGAGATAGGAAGAGATGTCTTGGACCACACAGCATGAGGCCAGCTACTGGCCAGGATGGGTCACACTGGTGGTGTCAATGGGTGCCCACTTGCAGCTGACACTGTGGAGGAAATGATTAGTAAGGAGGAAGCATATTTTCCTCAACTTTAGTGGGGAGCAGGCTAAAGCTCAACTTTAGTTCTTTCATTATATTCTTTAAAATTTCTGAAGTCTAAATTGATCAAAAGTTTATTTTGTATGTAACTCACAGTTTTCTCCTTGTAAAATATTGAAGTAGATGCTTTATATTAAAATTGTCATCCTAAACTTAAGCAATTCAAACAGGATGCTGTACTTATGATCCACATGTTCTATGTTATCAAAGAAGTGTAACACAAATTTAAAGTGTGATGCTATGTCATGAATAAACATATTGGACACATGATGTAATGTAAATATATTAATTTCCACTTAATTCCCTAAATTACTTAGTTTCTCTTATTTGCTATAAAATGCATTGTCATTTGATACATTTTATATGTACACTGTGCGTCTTTGTAGGGAATTTCACAACTGTGCATATTTATTGTTGGCTTCCAAAATGCAATAAATGTATGTCTCAAAGTAATGATAGGATTTTGATAGGCTTTCCATATTGAAAGACTAAACTATGACCTCAAGTAAGTTTCATCTGGAAAACCTTTCTGGGTTAAAAGGGTTTTCAGACTTTATAGATCACTAGCTCACCCCTATGCACAACACTGGTAAGATGTGCTGACTGAATAACCTGGGGTCCGTGCTGCCCCTTGGTGAGTGACCAGGTGCCCAGGAACAGGGATCATAGGGATACGGTGCATGGAGACAGGAAGGTGCCAGCCCTGCAAACCCTGGGACCGAGGCTACAGTGAATCAGAACTGACCTGAGCACCGAGGCTTAGAGCAACCTGTGGCATCTCCAGAGAAACAAAGTGAGGAGGCAGCAGGAGGAAAAGAGAACAGACACTCTGGTCCTCGTTGGCTTCCATGTGACACGGAGTGAGCAAAGCATCGAGTGCTGAAGACGGACACGGAGAGATGCTAGTTTGTGTTAACTCACGCTGTATTCAGCTGCATTGAATATGATTCCACGATGAGCATGAGCATCTGTACATATGATGATGAACCAACACCCGAGGTGCAATGTGAAGCCTGAAATGAGTCCAGTAAGGGCCAAGCCACGCCTGCACTGACCTACTACAGATCTAAAGACGATGAAGTTCTCCATCTATATTTAACTTTCTTTCTGCACCAGGGATATGAGTGACTGATAATAGTGGTTAAAAGATAGCAGACAGCACTGCCCCAAGCCAGAGTAAACAATTGTATGCTATTTTGTAAAGTTGAATTAATTTATTTTTAGTTGATATGTAAAAAGGTAAAATTAGACATAGTACTGAGATCTCCAGCTATACTCAAGGGGCCACAATGACAGCATTACATCTTTTTAAAAATTAATTAATTTATTTTAGTTATCAACAGGCCTTTATTTTATTTCTTTATTTATTTGTATGTGGAGCTGAGACCAAACCCAGTGCCTAAAACATGACAGGCAAGCACTCTGCCACTGAGCCCCAGCCCCAGCCCCAGCCTTACATCATTTTATGGCTGACTTGCGTTCTGTTTTAAAATGTACCACTTCTTTTATCCTTTCATCATTTTTTTTGTACTCAGAATGGAACCTAGATATGCTCTAAAACTGAGCTATATCTCCATTCCCACATTTTTATTTTTCATCTGAGGCAAGGTCTTCTTAAGTCTCCCAGGTTGGCTTGAAATTTCTATCCTCCTGCCTCAGCCTCCCAGGTTGTTTGGATCATGGGCTGCACCTCCTGGCCTGACCCATTACTCAGGGGTTTGGTGGACACTCTGGCATCCATTTCTAGCATGCTCTGATGGACTGCAGTCCCATGGCCCGCTGACTCATTCCTCACACTGACGCCATTGCGTTTGCCTGTGTCCTCAGTGGGGCTCTGCTGCAGCATACGGTAATTGTATTTAAAAATCATTTGAGGCTAAGATAATAAAAGTAGAGAGATAATATGATCTCTGAAGATAATAAACGACAGTAAGAGGCATTCTTCAATCTTCCCTTGTTCTTCCATGATCTCTAATTAAGGCATCTTTTCATGAAGTTGTCTATTGCTGTATATTGTAATTTTTCTAAAGTCATGAGGCAGAAAATTATAAAGAACAGAACAATTTCTCTCTCTCTCTCTCTCCATGTAGAATCTGGGAAATCACTGAGCTACTGAGCTTGGTTAGCAGTACCCATTATTCCCTGGAGGTATAATGGACAGATATGAAAGATCAGTGATAAAAACAAGATACTAATAAGCCACATATTTCACAGTTTCATTCCAGGGAGTTTCGTGTAGTAGTCAATGGGATAAAGAAGTAAATGTATTTTCAAATGTTAAGAAAAGTGAATTGTTTTAATATAGCCATTATTTTTGCACAAAACATTTTTATTAAAACATTTTTCACATTTTTCACAACACAAAATCTTGCACTGCTGTGACCAGGGGGAATGGTCTGTGCAAACGCCCCTGTAGTGGTGGGAAAGCTGTCTCTGTGTGAAGAACAGGTCTCCCAGTCACAGCTACCCCCTACTCTATGCTCCATGGTATTTAAGGATATGCTCTTCAGCTGAGGAGTATTTTATTTATTTGGTGAGGTTTTGCATCTAAAGGTTCTAGAAATGACTCAGGAAAGAATTGCTGCCAGGCAAGGACATAGTGCAACCCATGAAGAGGGTTCTGCAGCGGGAAGAGGTCAGACCTCCTGCCCATCCACCAGAAGACTTTGAGGTCACCCAGGGCACGTTTCCTCTTTGGCTTTCAATCAGTGACACCAGAGAGTCCACAGCCTTAGTTGAGTAAGACATTTAAACAACTAACTTGAAAATATCTGAATCCAATATATATGATTTCATCCAAGAAGTAGAAGACAAGAGAGCATGATGGGAAGAGGGGCAGACCCCCAGTGCCCCCCTGGCAGTTCTCCTGGACTGCAGTGTGTCAGACCAGGCGCCCCCCTTCAGTGATAACCCGTCATCGTCTTTCACTCCAGTTGAATCACGATCAGCACCAAGGTTGCAGGAACCCTGAGACAAAGAACAGGTCAGTTTAGAGCAGCCTGGGACATGCACAAACATGGAGAGGGATTTGCTCTATCCGTGGAGGAACAGGAGGATGTGCTGCTTTGTCAGGAGCTTCCCGGTGACCAGCTTCTCCAATCCTGCCTTCATGGCCTTGTTCCTCAGGCTGTAGATGATGGGGTTGAGGGTCGGGGGCAGCACAACATAGACCACAGAGAGCACCAGGTCAGTGGAGGAGGAGGACCCTAGGAGGGGCTTCAGGTAAGCAGTGAAGGCAGTGGAGAGGAGAAGCACTACCACTGCCAGGTGGGGGAGGCAGGTGGAGCAGGCTTTGGCCCTCCCTGCTGTGGACGGGATCCGCCTGACAGTGGAAAAGATGAAGACGTAGGAGACAACGATGCAGGCAAAGCAGCCAGTGTCCAGGATGGCACTTATGGAGATGAGCACGACTTCTGCAGTCATGTTATGGGAGCAAGAAATAGCCAACAGCTGCGGAATGTCACAGAAGAACTGCTGAATTTGACGGTTTCCACAATAAGAAAAGGAAAAGGTGCTCACAGTGTGTATGGCACATACAAAGCCACTGCTGAGCCAGGACAGAGTGGCCATCTGCACACAGGTGTCCCTGCTCATGATGGCTTCATAGTGCAGGGGATGGCAGATGGCGGCATAGCGGTCCATGGACATCACTGTGAGGAGACTCAGCTCTGCAAATGCAGAGAAAGGCACCAGGAAGACCTGGGCCACACAGCCGAGGAAAGAGATGGAGTGGCAGCGGGTGACAGAGTTGGTGACAGCTTTGGGCACCACAGCAGAAATGAGGCAGATATCAGAGAGGGACAGATTCCTCAGGAAGAAGTACATGGGCGAATGGAGGCCCGGGTCCAGGGAGGTGATGGTGATGGTGAGGCCATTCCCCACCAGGGCAGCCAGGTAGGCTGCAGCAAGAGCCCCAGCTTGTAGGAGCTGAAGGCTGCACGGGCCAGGGAAACCCAGGAGAAGGAAGCCTGTGAGCCCTGACGTTCTGTTCATTCTTGATGAAATGTTCTGCAATAAAAAGGGCAAGTGGGGTGGAAAGATCAGGCTTGATATTTGTTCTTATTTAATGTGTGTATGTGTGTGTGTGTGTGTGTGTGTGTGTGTGTGTGTGTGTGAGAGAGAGAGAGAGAGAGAGAGAGAGAGAGAGAGAGAGAGAAATATCTTGGCAGGAAAGGGGATTCAATGTTGGCTTTAACAATAAAGTTTTCCTATAAAATTCCAGTTCATTGGTCACATTTTCCATGGTGTCTTATCATGTTTTCTGAGTTTCTCTTCATAAAGTCTGAATGTCCTAATGGAAAGCAGCAGCACACAGATACTGTCAGAGGAGCAGGGCCAAGCAGCCCGGGCCTCCAGATAATGGTCCTGCTGAAGTGTGAGGATGTGCACTGTCCACTACTCACGTGCCCTGGCTAGTCCCAGGTGCTTTGCACACTTATTTCCTAGTCAATGGACTTTGATTCCTAATATTCTTCCACTGTGTCAGTTTCTGTAAGAATATGTGTGTTTCTGTCTTCTCTGTGTGAATGTGCTTTCCTCCTCCATTACTTTCTGAGTCCATTTGGTCACCTTGGTTACTGATTAAACATCTTAACCCAGATCCTGCCCTTGGCTTTGTTTCTTCACCTTTTCTCCTCATGTTTCGTGTTCTTTTATTTTCCTGTGATTTTTGTTTCTTTCTTTTTTTCTTTGGAGGGCCGGCTACAGCTTGCATTTTGAGACTTATATTTCTACATAAATACGAGGGCAACAGAGGCAGAAATTTCTGCCAGGCTTTAATTTAAATGCTGATTCACAGCATCCTAATCTGTCACAAAACCAACAATAATAACTGTTCATGAACGATACTGTACCACTTAAGGTCACTGTTATTCGATTCTTTTTAGTTGGTCACATACTGGTGATTTAAACAAATCTTATTAAGTTCACCATTAATTTCTATCATGTCTTACTCTCTTCCTCATAAGTGAATTAAACTTTCCCTTATATTTTCAATAATCTATTCATTGATTACCTGTTGTTAGTATCCTGTTTTGCATGATGAGATTGTTGATATTTGCTTTGAAAATTGCTATATCCTTAAGCCAAAATTCTACAATAAAGTGGAGTCTTTGAAATAAATCCTGAGTTCATGTTTCAGAAATTAGCATAGAAAATATTGTTTTATGCCCTGTCACCTGTATTAAGGAGACTAGGTTTAGAGATCTTAAAATTGACGTTTAATCACCCAAGAAACATTTCTTATTAGGATATTTGGATAAGAATTTTCTCCAGACCTATGAAAGTCTTATAAAAATTACAGTCAGCCACAGTATAAGGGAAAATCGTAACTCACTGAAGGCCTTGTCCTGCAGGAGGTGGGAGCAGTCCGAAGCTCTTGCAGGCTCTGGGGAACTTACTGGTGGTGGGCAGAGGCTCCGGCTTCCCTCACTTCTGGGGGTGCGGAGCCCTGAGCTGCCTGCTGCCTGCGTTGTCAACACGGCTGTGGAGAGGAGTGAGCACCAGGAGGAGGGTGGGGGTTATGTCTTGCCCTGACCCGAAGGTTGAGCTTGGCATGGGTCCAGAGGGAGATGCTGCCTCTACTGTGACTGTCACCCTGTTCCCCCCAGTGGCTGAGGGATACACCTGGCTGTCCCTGATGTGGCCACAGTGCCTCTCCCCTGACAGCCCTCTCAAGGAACAGCTTCCCACCCTGGAGTAGGGTCCAGAGAGGCCAGTGAGGCCCCGGGACTCCATCAGTCACTTAGGTTCCTGCGGGAGAGACCAGGGCGAGGCTTCCCCAGGGCTGCTGTCAAGTTCAGGTCCACCTTCACCAGGCTGTCTGTGGCCACAGCCATGCTTTCTCTGCAAATCCGGAGAGACTAGCCCAGCCTTCTTTATTGGAATCACTACCCTGTTTCCATGGCAGTAGTGACATACTTTTTTTAAAACCAATTCCCTCTTCATGAGTAGGTTCATTTCTGGCTCTCGGTTCTGGTCCACTGTCCAAATGACCCAGATTTTCTAAGTCTTGTGCTATTTTAGTTATGTACAGCTCTGTGGTAGGGTAAGAAATAAGATCTTACGCTTGCCCTGCTTTGTAGTTTTTAGCTCATTATTTCCTTTCTTTGTGTGTGTGTGTGTGTGTGTGTGTGTGTTTGCACATGATTTTTAAAATGGTTTATTCTCTGTGCAAAAGGAGAGTTTATACAGTGATTTCATAAATCTGCAGACCTTTGGTTGTATATATATTATAATGTATTCATTCTTTCAATGAAAATTTTTAATTCTCAGTAACTTCTTTAAACTCCCGGTTGAATTTATCACTACATATTGCTTTGTACCCATTATAAATGGGTTATTCATCTTCATTTTTATGATAGTTTGTTGTTTAGTTACAGCACACTTCAACTTTTTGAATGCTTATTTTGTATTTGTCAACTTTATTAAAAGTGCTATCAATTTAGCAATTTGTGTGTGCATGTGTGTGAATTCTATATATTACCTGTGTCCTCAGCAAACAATGAGAATTTCTTTTCTCCCTGTCCTATGTGGATGCATATTCTTGTTTTATCTCACCTCCTTGTTCTGCAGTCTTTCAATACCTTGCTGGATAGAAGTTTCAGGAAGGTGCCTTCATCTGACAGAGAATTATGTGACAAGCTGCATCAGGAATTCCAGGTAGGAGAAGACCCTGGAGTACCTTCTCCACACTATAGGTATTCTAGTGCTTGAACTCTGAGCAAGTTGCCATTTCCCAAGTATTGCACAGATGTCTCTGTCCTAAGGAAAATTCCAGCACTGCCTCCAACAGATTCCCAGAGTTGTAACTCAAGCAGCATCCTCACCTCTATCAATGCTCTTTAGTGTCCTCCAAGTCCAGTTCTACCTACCCACTGACCATTGGGAGGAGGACCAACTGTTCTCTTTCAATTCTTACTAATGTTGAATACTGAGAGGAGCTGTGGGAATCAGGGATGGGGCCATGACCTTGGCTCTGCAGTTCTGCAGCATATAGGGAATGTCTTCTCTGGACTTTGGGTAAATTGGGGAAGGAAGGTCTCAGAGCAGCAGATGAGCTTCTACCAGGCAATAGTATTCAATAACTGTCACAAGCATATTTCATCCTGGGGTTATGATGACTGCAGGGTTCCTGACTGTCCTATGCAGGAGGTTGCACACTCACACAGCTGGAAATGCTAGAGTGAGTTCCTGCGGAACCACCTCTAAAGCCGAGTGTGTGAAGGGCAACTTCCACCAGGTTGCACTCAGGCTGCTCCCTCCTTTATTCTCCACTGAGCACAGACTGCACATAGGGAAAGAGGCCCTGTCGTGCTCTGGAGGATCAGGCCCGCAGAGGGAGAAGACAGCAAGTAGGAAACAGACGCTAACCAGACCCCTAGGAGCAGGGATTTGGTGCACAAGGGCTTATGTTAAGTTTCTGCATTCAGTCAAAGTCAGTTTCCCTGGGTCCTAGCAGAGCTGTTTTAAAAAGATCCCTCTAACTCCAATATGTTTGTTCAACTTGACCTCAATGTATTTGAGGATAGGAAACAATTCTAGGACTCCTCCACAGGAGCTGACAGTGGAGAATAGTTTGCATGGATGTATTTAAATTATATTGGGTGTTGGAATAAAGTTAAATTTCCCAACTTTAACCAACTTCCAAAGTGAATAAGAATTCCCTATTGAAAATGTTGCTGATGGGCAGCTGTCAGAGCTTTGTCATAGGGCCTGGCTGGAAGAGCCAAGTCTTGAGTCAGGTTTGTCAGTCACTCAGGTGATCAGGAGCCAGGACGTCACTATGGCACTGCTGGACACATCTGTGCAGAGAAAAGCAGCTGTTTAAAAACGTGTTTGAACCTCAGATTTGTTAGGTACATGTTTTTGCTCTTCCTTGTTTTAAAATTTATCCACATTTACTAAATATGCTATTCTGTAGTAAGTGCAATCTATAAGATTTTGTGAATTATATTAAATATTACATGTTTTAAATTAAATTAATAAAGTATATATGTAAGACTTTCCTTATAGAAATTTGACACTGATTTTTTTACTAAATTATTTTAATTATTTTATTGGTGCATTATAGTTATACATGATAGCGGGTTTCATTTCAAAATATTAGTATGTGCATGAAACTAAACTGCCACCTTTCAGCCCCCTGTACTTCCCCTTCCCCTCCCCTTTCCTATCCTCTGACCTCCTTCTTGTTGTAATGGCCTTTTTTTTTCTATTTATTTGTTGTTTTTTAAATTAGCACTGTGCAGATAAACATAAGGGCGTGGCCTTTCCTGGGGGTTTACACATGTGCACAGTATAGTTTGGTGAATCTCATTTCTCAGCTCCTCCTCTCCCACTCTCTTTCCTTCTTGAGGTCCACTCTTTCCTCCATTCCTTATTTTGTTATAACCCACATAAGAGAGAAAACATTCTACCCTTGGTTTACTTACTCTGTCTTATTTCACTCAGCATGAAGTTCTCCACCTCCATCCCTTTGCTCCACCTCCATCCACCTACCAGTAAATAACATCATTTCATTCTTCTTGGTGGCTGAGCAAACTCAGCCATATTACTCCACATTTTCTAGGTCCATTCATCTCTTCACAGGCTCCTGGGCTGGTCCCCTATCTTGGCTCTTGGGAGTTGTGCTGTAAACGTGGATGGATGTGGCTGTGTCACTATACTAGGCCAATTTTAATTCTTTTGGATGAATACAAAGGAGTGGGACAGCAGTGTCATATCAGGGTTTCATTCCTAGTTTTTTTATTATTATTATAGCTAGTGTTTTCCAAAGTATTATTCCAAAGTATTATAAAACCTAGGAGGGCTGGGGAAATCTATGGGCAGGTGCACCATGAGGAAGGAAGGGGTTAAAAAAGACCCATCTCTCCATTCACTAAAGTATCACCAATTGGGTTAATGTTGAAACACCCCAAGTGATGACCTGGGTCAATGCGTGAAGTAAATACATGAGACCTCTTACCTGAAGCCCCCACAACGAATGGGAGGAAAAATTGTCAGACATCTGTCTCCTCTGTTATCCTCTCCTCTCTGCTTTACCCTCCCTCCCCTCCTCTCCTTTCTTCCATGAGACACTGTTTTCCTGCAGTGTAATCGGAGCAGTTGACTTGGGGCACAGGCTGTAGAGTGATTCATCAAAATACAATTTCCTGGATTATGATTCTTATATAAGCTGTTTCTAGGATGTTTTTCCATTGAGAGAAGATGAACCTCTCTAGACAAAGGACCTCCCTGGACATGTTCCCAGCTGACCTCCTCTTAGCAATCTGTGGCCACTGCATCTGAGCACAACTTCAGAGGGGGAAAAATGTCCAATAAGACCAGAGTGACTCAGTTCATCCTCAGGGGCTTCTCAGACATCCTAGAATGGAGGCCAGTGGTCATTGTCTCTTTCCTGTTGGTCTACACCT